GTGGAATTTTGTGAAAAAATTTCTGAAACACTCATACGTTTACTGGTAAGTGTTTTTATTTCATTTTTATATTAATAAAATGAGGCACAAGCAGAGCTATGTCTTGCTTGGTTGGTGAATTACAGAAGACTAAATTCTAGAGACACATTTTTTCCCTAGCTTAACTAATTGTTTTTCTTATCAATATTCTGCAAAATAGTGTGGAAGGCATATTGACCAATGAAATGAGATAAGTAGGTAAAAAGGTATGGGTTTGCACTTGACAAGGTATTAGGAATGTGAACCACCAATTCGGCTTAAAGTTCCGAATGGTATGGAAGGTAGAGTTTTGAGTGCACATTTTGAGTACAAAGTGGCACCAAAATGTCTGGTACGTCGGGAATTACCCAGAAAAGGAAGTCAGTTTATGACGAAAATGCATCAGTTTTATTGCTTAACGTGGTATGTAGCTGAACTGCGCACGCATGTTTGTTGATGTTATACTGTGTGGGGGAATTCCAAACGCAATTAGGAGATGAAAAAGACAAGAAAGTAGAAACGAGACGAAAATAATAAAAATTATTGAGGATGCAGACAAATATTGAAGTCTGCAACAAAAACAGAAATGCACTTTTGGTGCTCGACGCATATTCCATTCATGCGAAATGGTACCATATATAGTCATAAAGCAGCTCGGTACAAAATATGAATCGTGTAGTCAATTGAACGCAATGACAGTGCCGATATTGCTACAAAAATGTAGAAAATAGCTGCCGAATTTTTACTTTTATAGAGTAATAATTTATTTATATGAAACGTAATTTTTTATAGTTGTCAGTTTATAATTATAGTTCAATTCAACTGGAAATGATTTTTGTTGTATCTTTTATCGAAATGAGGTTTAAATCTACGATTTCTGTTCTTATTCGAAATCATTAACAATTTGTTTCATGAAAATTGTATTGCTTCAATCGAAAATTCAAACAGCTATACTAAGAAAAGTGTCTGGCCTCAACGCTGAAGTACGATGTAGTCCCGCTTGTTCGAAATGCGCCATTCTTTGCTCAGATGATTGCGTAGCCGATCGCACATTGATCGTGTGTCTTCAACGCGGAAAGTAAGCTTGTTCACCGAACCACAGTTGTTTGCAAAGTCGAGAATTTCATCAATCGCAAATTCATTCGATTCCACCACGATTTCGTCCAATGAGCGTACCGCTTTGGCCAGCTTCAATTTGTCTTCTGCACTTCGGAATAGGTGTGTTTCCACAAGTTCACGAAGCAAAGTCAATTTGGTCAAAGATGTTTGAGTGCTGATGAAATCCAAAACATCGTCACTGAGATGATAAGCGTGTGGGTCCAATGTGAGTTCCTCCAGGCGATCGAATGTAAATGGAATTTTTGGCATTGAAACAATTTCATCTTCGTCTTCGTCATCGTAAATTTCGAATTGGAGACTTGTCACATCACGAAAATGAATGGAGGCATCGTGGTTGAAACACTCTGGACGCCAAGCCACATGAAGATGCTTGATGGACTGCAAACGTTCGTTGATGCTGTGCAGAAATTTTGCGTCCAACATATTGCCGTGAATTTTCAGCCATCGAATTTGTGGATTCAAACGCAATGCCGCTACAATGTTGGACTGTTCCAATGTGTTTTTGCTGTTTTTGAATGTATCAATTAACAAGCCGCTCAAATGTGGAAAATTTTTCTTCGATGAACCTGGGATTCGGAAAGTAGTTTTCGTCGACCAATTCCAAGGTGTTCAATTGCGGGAACCATTTGTTCAAATCGGCCAAATTGTCGCCGAAATGACATTCCCAGCATATGAGATGTTGAAGTTTTGAAAAGGGCCGCGTGATGTTTTCCGTTGTCCATTGCGAGGCACCAAACATTTCAATTGAATGCAGTGAATCGGCGCAGTACTGGTCCAAATATCGATCCACTTCATTTTGATGTCGTTTCTCTTTGCAGTAATTGAGATACATGTTGGAGATGAAATGACCAAAGCAGCGCAACATTTTCAAGTAAGTTGAAATACCACGAATACGAATCTTGTCGCTTCCTGCTTCGATCCGTAGTCCGTGTGGCCGTTCCCACCACCAGGTGGTGTCAGCAATAACATATATCTTTCCGTTTTTGCTATGGTACTCAAAGTCGACGGCTTGCTTGAAGTATTTGCTGGAATCGGCCACGTTCAACAGATCTTCCAGATCCAATTTGTTGAATATGTGCTCGAGGTGGTCTTCGTCCAAGTCAGTGATGTTGATTGATTTGATTGGTTCTTCTGGAACATCTGAAACTTTTTGGTCTTCTGGAACTTCTGGTCGCATTCTCTTGTTTTGTTCCGGCTCAATTGCGTCGTTTTTGTCGCTTTTTGTCCAAATCAATCTGTTGAGCATCCATTTTCGTGACTCTAGTCGTTAATCTGGAATAAAAATAGACGAAAGCACATAAGATATGACACAGTGACTTGAGATAAAAAAAGACTCTTTCAGCCTATACTTTCAATATTCACTGAATTTGGTTTCAGTGACTGACACAAACAATGAATGCTATTGATGCATGCTCATATTTGGATGCGTGCAAATAAATACAGTGCAATGAATTGATCGCCGAACAAAAGTGCAACATAGTGTTGTTTTATATAGATTCGTTGTTGTATCACAATAACAACACCGTATGAAAGAACGCTGTGTTGTGTTTTGTTCAGCGACAAATTCAATACGCTGCATTTATTTAATAAATTTTATTTCCACGCGTTCATTTGATGTTCGGCCAAAACTTATGCATGGAAACAACTTTCACATACATTTTACCATTCGAGGAATGAACCAGTGATTGAAATAGGAAATTTTCAGTGCTACCGGTTACAAAAAATATGTTATTCTTTAAAAAATTCCAGTGCCAAAAAGTCTGGGGAAGTTAAGCACCAACCGTTTCTTGAAAAATGAATTGTTCCCTTATGTTTTCTTTGCAGAAATTATATAAATCTTCAGTTTAACACGCGCGTAGTGATTTTAATTGTGAAACGACTACCGGTATCCGGAATTTCCTCCTGAAACCCAATAGAATAGTTTGAAAAGTCCAAGAATTCCACAGAATATTGGTATTTTTGAGCTCTTCACGCCAAACAATTTTATTGGCCTTCAAATGATGAAACTAACTAAGTAGTGACCTGAAAATTGAGTGTGAAATTTTGCAAATCAGAACTATCGTAATTCAGATTTGGAGTTGCATTTTCACATTCAGAACTACCGGATTCCGGTAGAACAACCGGTTATTTCAATCACTGGAATGAACATTGATTACATAAACACTAAATTTCCTCGATTTTAGATAGTAATTGATAATTTCTGGAGGTTTCATGCTATTTTTAGAAGAAACTTTCTACAAATTAAACATATGATGCCACATTTTCCACTGATTTTTTATTTTGTGTTTCGCACAACTATGTAGTCTTACCTGCCAGAGAGCAACTTTGGATTATTCTTGATAAATTTGTATTTTTATGATCGCAAGATCACCTTTCGGAATGAGAAATTCAAGTCGGCGCTTCTTAGAAAATGAAAATCTTCAATGATTTATTTTCTTCGGCGATTCAGTTTTCCATGTCCAAAAATGGCGATGAATGTTTATGATATGTGTTGTTGAGAATAAAAATGGGATTAGTCGAAACCGCTCGATTACATGTGAATCATTTTTGTGTTTCTGGTAAGAGATAGAAAACCGATGTCTTCTGCAATGTTCTAGAATATTTTGAGAACTTCATCTTTGCTTAAGATACTTGCCTCGTATCTCGTACCAGAAACACAAAAATGATTCGCATAAAAACACGCGGTTTCAGCTAATCCCATTTTTATTCTCATCGACACATATATGAGTTCCTTGTTCGCAGAGAAACAATGAAGCGTGTGTTTGATGATTGTGAAATAGCGACCTAATCAAAGCGATGACATACAGAGACACTACATTTCTCGGAATGTCATAGTGTTGCCGTTGTCACTTTCGAAATGTTTATTCTGTGTGGAAAATTTCGGATTTTCAAATGACCTAAATTGTTGCATTGGTGAAAATCCCTTATTACGGTCGCTTGGACGTTTGATATTGAATTAAACTTTGGAAAAGGTCGCTTTTGTATTTTTAATTATTTAAAAAAAAACTATCCATCTGATTTAGATTGCTAGGAACATTTTTAATTTTGAAGAAATCGATTGAAATCACTTGCGCTTTGATCCTGATATCAAGTAATTTGGATTTTGAGGTGTGGCACTACTGTCCCTTGCGAACTCACTGCGATGAAACGTCATTGAACATTCACATTCAAATAAGCATCGGACTATAATAATCGTATACGCAACACATATATGTGTATATATACTTATACACATATCGTGCACGCTCGTGTGTGATAACAACCTCCGCTGTGTATCAATGAAAAAACTACGCCAAATACTTCACATGTATTTTCATGCATCGACAATCGCACTGAAAACAGTCTGACATTACTCTTCACCGAGCAATAAATTGCAAAGCATAAACAACAGAGAATTTGCATACAAAAACGAATGGAGGTACACAGCGTGTCTAACTAATAATTTTTATCGACTTTGTTGAGTAATAAAAAGCGAAGTTCTGAATATGGATAGAAATATTCTGGGAGCTCAGATGGACGGTCATTTGACAAATATTCAGAGGGAAACGATGGCTGCGTTGATTCACTTCAAAGAATCTGGGACAACAATCGATGATGACTTCATCAAATATTTCTTGAAGCTTTCCATTGCAAGGTATGGCTTGATAAAAATAGAATTTTCGCACTATTGAATAGTTCTTTTGCATGGTCATAAAATCGACCTTCCGATGAATTAATTGCAATTTAGAATGGCTCAACATGTCTTCTTTTTCAGAATGACTCAAACATGTAAACGATTCGAAAAGGAATGGGACATATTGAACAAAATTATGCAAAGTCCAACTGGTGTTGGTGATGGGGAGTCATCGGATGGTGTAAACGGAAGCAAGCGTAAACCCGAGACTGCCAGCAAGGATATTGAACAGACAAAGAAGCAAAAGTCGATGCCATTCGATTCAAGTAATGAATTTTCCTTAAAAAAAATTCCCTTCGAACTCAATTCCCAAAACCACCTTCTAAAACTAATCTAATTCATGTGTCTTCCATTAGATGCCAATTATGGAGAAGCAAAGAAAAGCGACACGTTGTTCTTTTGTGATTATTGCACCGATCCGAATGATTCCAGCAAATCGTTCAGTGGTACGGCCGAAGAAGTCCATGCACATTGGCTTTCATCCCATGTGAATGAGTCAATTTCTCAGCCGTCCCAATGTCATGGCATTAAAAATGAAGCACAACAAACGAATACGATGTTCTACTGCGATCATTGTATCGATTCAAGCGACTCCAGTGAATTGTGCAGCGGTACAGTTGCCGAGGTCTACGAACATTGGCTGACATCACATCTCAATGACCGGATTGCTCATCCGTTTCAGTTCTATGCCGTTGATTTAGCCAAATGTTTCCACTGTGCAGAGGTCGGCACGTATCACGATCTGGTGAAACACCACAAGCACCAACACAAGTCCAAATTTTTCACAATTTCTGATCGATTGAACCGCGACAGGTGTGGCATTTGTCACTTCAAAGATGACAATTTGATTGAGCATTTCAGAAGTAGTCATGAATCAGTGTCGTCGTCCAAAATCTTCAATCCAGTCTTTTATTCGGAAGAACGAATTACGGAGCTATTGAACATTAATGCTGAAAAGGAGCATCGATGCATCGAATGCAGCCAAACATTCGAAACACACGTCGAAACGTACCAACATTTTGCAGTTGCACATGCCGACCAAGACGTGAATCCGTTTGTCGGTGGCCAAAGCCAGCCAGTCTATTTGATTTGTGGTTTCTGCATGAAAATCGTTGCTGTTAATCAATTTTTACACCATTTTAAGAAGCATTCGTACAATTTTCCATGCTCAAAATGCGCATATCGATCATCTGATCTGGCCGAATTGGTGTTCCACGAGAGAAAAGTCCACAGCAATGACTCTTTGAACTATCATTGTGCAGTATTTCCCGATTGGCTGCGCAACAAATTTCACAACACAAAAATGGTGTTCCCGAATGGTCTCGTTTTAAAGAATTTCAACGTTCTCGGAACCAAATTCGATGACAGTAAATTGTTTGGCGTTTTCATCGAGGGCATTTTGGATGCGAAAAAAGAATGTTTGGAGCAAATGATGAAAATGAATCCTGCGAGTTCCAATGATGGGGAGACACAAAAAGAGCAAATATCGCAGGAAGGGCCAGTAGCAGCACCATCGGCACTTGACGCAACACTTATTGCCGAACTGAATAAGCAACTTTGTCTCAGACATAATTTGTATGTTGATGGAATTCGAAGCTGCCTCAAAGACATTGGCCTACAGAATGTATTTCTGAAATTATGCCAACAGCTAGAGGTAAATATGTCAGCCAGTGATATTAAACGGATTGAGGAGAAGAACAGCAATGGAATGTCTGTGGAACTACACCGAATGGACTTGAAGATGATGATCTTGAACCGCATGAAAACACGAACAATTTGGTCAAATGAATTGGTGCAGTTGTCCGAAGACCAAACACCATGGAAAATTTCAATTATCAAGGAATTGACACCATATTATTCCGGCATTTGGCGAAAGGCAGTTGAACTTTCAAAACGAAACGCAATACATTCGTTACGAATTACCGATGAAGGGTTAAAGGTGACGCGTACACCCACTGAAGCGGGACATACCGTGCGGTCAGAACAAGAGCTATTGGATTACATCGAGAAAACGGAGCATCAACATGAATAACGTTGCCAATTTCTCCTCAAGCAAACTTTTTCAGGTTTCATTAGAAGAAGCTTCTGCTTCTGTGAAGGAAAACTTAGTTTTAAGCCATTCAAAACTAATAATATTCTTTTAAAGATTTTAGGACTACAAGTTTTTTATGTTTTTTTTCCTCAATCAATGGGATTTTATTTTGATAACCATAATTCAAGAACTTTTATAAAATAATCAACAAAAAAATGGACTTCACGGTGTTCAGCACCAAACAAATAGCCAAACCCCAAATATATAAATACACTGACCATTAGACAACGTTCATGGAATTTTTGCATAAAATCAGAAGTGAAAGAAAAAACAAAATTCTTCATTTATTCCTTCGATATTTGAAAAAGTGCGACACATTATTTCACAGTACATTGCTCGGTGAACTGTGTCTAATTTTGGAAAATCAGAAATTGAATTGCCGTTTCGAACGAAACATTCATTGAGATAAGTTACAAAGTTGAAGTGGAAATTGTTCTGTGACACAATTTTTTTTTGGAAAAAATATGGAAAATATGAATATTTTCCTCCTGCATGAGGAATTCCAGATCTAGATCTTGCTGAATCTTATTGATTGGAATATCGCTCAATTACCTGTGGTGAATATGTGTTTATGTATTGGTTAATCGAAGGCAAATCACGTACATAATTCGACGATTAACGTACTGATTTCTTTGAGTGCACAACTTGAACCACAAACTCTTTTTCAGAATATTCCAAGAAACCAATCGTTTTTTAACTGTCATAACTAATTGACATGGTCAACCGAAAGTCAGAGCTTACTGGTTCATTATTTTGGTCTCGATCCTTTTGTGTTTTCTATTCGCCCCGAAATTTAAGCATAGTAGACAAAGAAGACAGTTCAAATTTTCCTCGTGACAATTGCTGATTTTCAAATCGTCATTCCCATTCAAACAATTAACTCCGAAGTGAACAGACACCAAGCCTTAGATAAAATCAATCCGAAGAAATCGGAGCGTTTTTTTTTTCAAGTCATTAGCCGGCTACTCTTTCCCAACATAAAAGATTCATCCTGTGTTACTAGCTATAACCACATATCAGTGAAATCACAGCTTTGAATGTCATTTTATCACTCTACAATAATTGAACTTTTGCTTTTATTTTTACCTAAAATTCATAATTCTAGTTGATATTTTGGATAGACAAAAAATAGGTCTTTTGAAAAACTTCTAATTGCGTCACGACTTTTGAATTTAGTCTCCAAGTCAAGCTTTAAAGCGTTTTGCCGTCCAAAAGTCGTGACGCAAGATATTTCTCCTTATTGTAAATAAATTTTCACAATAGTGAATGCGAAAAACACTTTTGAACTTCGTTTCCAGTGATAATACACACTGTAATTCCAATGGGATTAGAATTTAATCCATTAGGATTTTTTAGCTAAAAAATCCAAAAGGATTAATATTTAATCCCAGCTATATGAAAAATATCCATGCGTCAAATTAACGAATAGTATACACGACCATTCACATACAGTGGCTAGCCTCTGTTTGTATTGTGATTCCTGCACAGAACTGATGACAGTGCGTGTGCGTGTGTTAGTATATCACTTTGCAATAGCCGCTTGAACATTTGCAATGCTACACATTGAAAACAAATTCGACAATTTGAATTACTGAAATATTTCGTTTCAATAATAATGTTTTGACGCATGGATTTTTACTTTTCCGCACACGAAGTGTGTGAGAAAAGTATAGCGATCGACGTGATAAAAAGTGTGCTAATTTTTGTTGTGTCCA